TTTGTTACATAGGGATACAGGTGCCATGGTGGTTTGTGGCACCTGTCATCTAGGTTTTAAGCCCCGCATACATTAGGTATTTGTCCTAATGCTCAAACTGGACTATTTCTTATCCTGGACACTGGAAACCGCCAACCCCTGGTAACCAGCCAGCATTGTTAACGATAATGCCCCATCCCTCTCCTGGCTCTGTGCACCCCCAGCACTAAGTCCCAGATGTAGTTCTGTTCCTGTGGTCTATTCCGACCTCCAGGACTGCTACATGCATCAAGGTCTGCAATGGTGTCCAGCTGCTGTGAGGGGTTGATCTCCTCCTAGGCTTCCTCTCCACCCTCACCCCTTGGCACTCTTACTCCATCAGGTTGTGTTCCAGCCCTGCTGGCTTCCTGTCACATCCTTTGAAAACTGTACAAAATGTTCCTGGTATTTGGAATGCTCTCTGCTATGACTCACTTCCCTGACCCTTCTTCTCATCCTACGGTCATGTCACTAATAACAAGCACTTTATTTGTGCCAGGCACTCTTTGAAGTACTTTATTTATTCATTTTAATTTATTATTTTTTTTTTGAGACAGAGTCTCACTGTCATTCAGGCTGGAGTGCAGTGGCGCAATCTCGGCTCACTGCAACCTCCGTCTCCGCCTCCCAGATTCAAGCAGTTATCCTGCTTCGGCCTCCCAAGTAGCTGGGATTACAGGCACATGCCAACACACCCTGCTAATTTTTGTATTTTTAGTAGAGATGGGGTTTCTCCTTGTTAGCCAGGCTGGTCTCGAACTCCTGACCTCATGTGATCCACCACTTTGGCCTCCCAAAGTGCTGGGACTACAGGCGTGAGCCACCGTGCCCGGCCAGAAGCACTTTACGTTAATATAAAACCTGTGTAATCCTTTCAACAGCAGCCTTGTGAGGTAGATAATATTGCCATCCCATCTCAAAGGTGAGGAAATGAAAGCAAAGAGAGGAAGTGACCTGCCTGCGGTCACACAGCCAGTAAGCAATGGAACTGCATTTATATGTAGGCCACTTGGCTCTGAATCCCGACTCTTAACCACGACACTAACACCAATTGTCAAGTTACTTTTTATGAGCTCATCTAGTGTGGATTCCTAACAAGTACTTCGTCATCTCGCCCTACTTTGTTTAATCTCGCAGCAAACCCTGTGAGTTCCTTCAGAACATGCCCGAATCTGACCTCCCCTCTCCGAGTCCACTGCCACTGCCACCATCGATGGCCTAGACAATGGCAGCAGCCTCCTCACCACTGCCGTCCTTGCCCCCTCCCCTCAATCTGTCCTCATGGCAGCCAGAAGGATCCTATTGCAACCCGAGTCAGCCCAGGGCCCTCCTCTGCTTGGAGTTGCCCTGCCGTGGCTCTCATCTCTCTCAGAGAAAAAGCCAGAAGTCCTCTCTGTGGCCCTCCAGGCCCTCCCTGACCTCACCGCCCGCCACCGGCCCCTGGCCAACTCTGTTCCTGCCCCGCTGGCCTTCTTGCTGTTCCCCACACACCAAGCAAGCTCCCACCTCAGGGCCTTTGCTCCTGCTTGCTTTTCCCTCTGCCTTTAATTCTCCTCTTCCAGATGTTGAAGCAAGGTAAGGCTGACAGGTTTGGCTGGAAATGTAACAAGCCCTTGTTACATTCGGATGTTACTTACATGGACAACGAAA